TAAACACCACAAGCCCTGAGCCCTTCAGCTAAACCAGTAACCCTGGGGTGTCCAACTCCTTTGGAGGAGAGGGCCGTATTCCACTTTCCGTCATGGTCAGTGGCCCGGGGCATCTATTTAGGACTCCGTCCCCCACCTCCCTTCGCAGCAGGACACCCGCTGCTCTCGGTGGGACACCCAGGCGCGAAGGACAAGGGGAGACGCTGCCCGGGGAACAGGAGATGACACTGCTATTTACAAAGTCCTTCACTGTCACAATCAATATCACTCCGACTCCCACACACCCCTTTATGGCCCCTGCTATTTCTACCCTTCCTTTGCCACCCTCCTTCCTCTAGTTATCTCTTGCTTCCTTGTCCTTGCGTCTCTCCAAAGTCCTCCCGAAGACAACCCTCTATTCCCACCTCTCGAAGGCTTCATTCCCACCCGCTCAAGCGATTAGCCAGGGAACACTGAATGTTGACATCAAAGTGTCGGCAGGCCAACGAGATTAACGGAGGCCAAGGGCATTCACACCCCTCTGAGCTGCTGTTTCAGGCTGTCTGCAGACTCAGGAAGGCAACATTTTCTCCATGTCCATTTGGGAGGGTTTCTTTGCAACCAGGAGGGCTAGAAACTTACTTTTAAAAAAAAAAAAATCGAAAGCTGAGATTCTGCACACTCTGAAGACGTGACGTGGCCCCATAAATACGTCAGACAGCCTGGGTCTGGCCCCTGGCCCATATGTCTCACAGCCCTGGTGGGACGTATCAGCCGTCAGAGACGAACAGGCTCTTCCCCTTGCTGAGGCAGCCACGAGGGGACACAGAATCACAGGCTCTAAGCCGGCGTGTCACGCTGCCGGGGCAGGGGGACGCCCTGTATTCAGTGCGGTTAGCAGACCTAACACGCCATGGGGGGAGGGAGACAGAGCCCAGGACTTACCTGCCCCCAGAGCTCCCAGCACCCTGGAGAGGAGAGAAAGGAGAGGCCGTCAGAGGGGGTGTCCCAGGCTGGGGAAGCCTCCTGCTCCGCAGGGAATCACCATGGGAGCCTCTGGTATTTAGGGGAATTTCAGACCCTCAGGTTCTGGTTCAGAGACCAGCTGCCGTCTCCCCCCCGTCCCCACCAGCAGGGACAGTTGCTCTCAGCAGCCCCAGCAATCCCTGCTGGGAGGTGGAAAGTTTCTCCCCGGCCACTTTAGAGGCAGAAAATGTTTCTCTGCCTTGAGAGTCAAATTCCTCCCAGTGCCGAGAGCCCCGCAAGCCCTCTGGCCCCAGTAACCCATTAACCTGGTGAGAGTGGGATTTTAGGCCTGGCTCGGGACCTCTGCACGGGGGAGGGGATTTACAGACATTTACAGCAGAGGAGAGAAGGTCTCGGGGTTGCAGCGCCCAGGACCCATCCCTGGTGCTGCCACAGACTCAGTATGTGAACTGGGGCAGCGCTCTGCCCCTCCCTGTGCCTCAGTTTCCCCCTTTCTCCCATAGGGATAATTGCCCAACCCCCCTTTGTAAAGTGCTTTGGGGTCTGGGGCGGAGACGCTCCTACAGGAACGCTGCGTGTGGTCATTGCAACGACAGCCTGACCTGCCGGGGTGGGCTCAGCAGCTGCCCCTTCTCTCCTCCCCGCTCCCCAAGCAGGGAAATCTCCCGGGACACTCGGCAGGCGCCCGCATCCCTTCTCTGGGCAATGGCTCTCTCGAGCTCTTCCAGCCCGGACAGCAGCCGCTGCTCCTGCTCCGCCAGAAACCCTCGCAGATCCCGCCACTCCCAGACCATCTTCTGCCTCTCGGCTGCCGTCCGGCTCTGCAGCCACAGGGAGAGGGCGGGTGGGTACCGGGGGAGACCCATAAATGCCCCTCCCGGCGGGTGGGGGAGTTATTTCCCAGAGCGCGGGATCTCTTGCGCTTGGGGACGGGAAGGTTATTTACCCCAGCAAGGGTGGACGGATCAGGGCAGGGGTGAGCTGTACATCGCTCATGGGGGGGGACTGTTCTCCCCAAAACCTCATCCGATTGCTCTGGGCCAAACTCTCCATCTCTGCAGCCGGCATATCCTCCCCATTCCCCTAGGTGCGGGAAAGGCTCCCCGGTCACTGTGACATGCAGACAGCCCGTGGGCAGGGGCTCTGGGCTCACACAGACTGACCCGCTCCTGCCCAGCAGCCTCCCGCACCCTACGGGCACCATGCCACCCCCGTGTCGGACCCTGGGCTCCGGTGGGGACGGGTCCCTGGCTGAGGCTGGCAGGCCGGGCCCTGCATTCGCCGTCACTCGGGGCACCGGGATCCCTGGCGAACCTGGGCCCTGGGCACCTACCAGCAGCTCCTGGCTTTGCCGTGGCTCCTCGGCTTCGGCGGCTTCTCTCTCTTTTCCCAGAGGGGCCCGACGCTCTCGGGGGGGCTCCTGGAAGAAGCAGGGGAGGGGGGTTACACACTGCTGCAAACGGCCTCACAACGGCCCGATTTCAGGGCCCGTCCTGCCCTGTCGAGCCCCTGGGACTCAAGGAGACTTTTTTTCCAGGTCTCATTCAGCCTCCCTGAGGACGATCTGGGAGGCGAGGGTGAAATGGGGGGGGAGATTTTCCAGAGGAAACACAGAACCCCGTGGTGAAGTGACAGGGGTGCAGGCCGACCCCCAAGATAAAAACCTGCGACCTGACCTAATTTGCTCCCAGTAGCCGTTACTCATGAGGAAGTTTGTCCTTATTTGCCGACTTGCCCCAAGTCGCTACCTCTCCCCTTTCCCGTCTTCTGGTCCGCGGGGAGCAAATTGGGGGTACCTCGGTCACAGGCTGATGCCTCTGACATTGTGCAACTCTTCGGGCTGCATTGGGCCCGGGGGCCCTACTTTGGCCATCCCTGCCACCAAATTACAAATCACAGGAGAAAAACCACAGCCAAGTGCGACATGAGAAACAACCCAGACGCCAGGGCTACGACTAGGACCGACTGACTTCGAGAGATTTCCCAGGCGTATTTGTGATTAAACTATAAATTAAACCCCACCCGTATCTGCACAGCGACAGGACGGGTACGCGAGGACGTGCTAAAAGTAACGAAGAGAGCCTTTCAGAAAAGGGATCGGTAAAAAGGGGCAAATGGCTCTTGCAAATGGAGCCCAAGGAAGGGAGCGCCATTCAGGGACTCCCAGCAGCCGACCAGACAAATCTGGGACCCGCGCGGAGACTTTACGCTGCCGGACGCCCTGATCCGGGAGTCTTTGTTTCTGAGGGGGGTGTATGCAAAATATTTCCCTGAATCCAGTCCCCGGCAGCCCCCCCGGCCGGTGACGGCAGACAGGGGCGGCAGTGACTGGCCGGGGGGGCCCGGGCCTTGAAGCACCCGCCCTGGGCAGCCCGGGCTGAGAGGTGCCCTCTGGGGGAGGGGAAATAAAAAAGCCCCTCTGCCCCCCCCATTATTGCCAACACGGGGGGCTCAGCCCCCTCCACGGTGACTCTCCCCCCCTCCCGCCCCTGCCTGGGCCGGGTTTTACCCTCTGCCAGCGCCTCGTCCCGCCCCAGCCCTGACTGTGCCCCCCAGCCAGTCAATTGCCACCCCCGGCTCACACCCTGGGCGCCCCCCTTCTCCTCTTTTTAACCCCCTGTAAAAAGCGGGACACAGGCTGGGATGGCAAGTAAGGGCACGGGGAAGGGGGGGGGGGAGCCGTGGCTTCAGCGGATGTTACTGAGCACGCGCAGCACAACCCCAGTAGCAAATTCTGCCAGAGAGCAGATTGCTCCCCCCCAACCCACTTCAGACGCTCCCACGGCTCCAGCCCCAGCCCCCAAAGCTCCCACAGGGCCAGATCTGAACACGGACCCTCCCCCCACCCCAACACCCCCAAACCCCCAGCTCTGCCCCCCACCCCCCAACAAACTCCCAGCTCTGCCCCTCCACCATCCCCCCAGCTCTGCCCCCCACCCCCCAACATCGCCCCCAACCTCCCAGCTCTGCCCCCCACCCCCCAACATCCCCCCCAAACCCCCAGCTCTGCCCCCCACCCCCCAACATCCCCCCCATCCCCCCAGCTCTGCCCCCACCCCCCAACATCCCCCCAAACTCTCAGCTCTGCTCCTCCACCCCCCAACACCCTCCCAAACTCCCAGCTCTGCCCCCCACCCCCCAACATCCCCCCCAAACCCCCCAGCTCTGCCCCCCACCCCCCAACATCCCCCCAAACCCGCAGCTCTGCTCCTCCACCATCCCCCCAGCTCTGCCCCCCCACCCCCAACACCCCCCCAAACTCTCAGCTCTGCCCCCTCCCCCCAACATCCCCCCCAACCTCCCAGCTCTGCTCCCCCCAACATCCCACAAAACCCCCAGCTCTGCCCCCCACCCCCCAACATCCCCCCCAAACCCCCAGCTCTGCCCCCCACCCCCCAACATCCCCCCCAACCCCCAGCTCTGCCCCCCACCCCCCAACATCCCCCCAAACCCCCAGCTCTGCCCCCCACCCCCCAACATCCCCCCAAACCCCCAGCTCTGCCCCTCCACCATCCCCCCAGCTCTGCCCCTCCAGCCCCCAACACCCCCCAAACTCTCAGCTCTGCTCCTCCACCCCCCAACATCCCCCCAAACCCCCACCTCTGCCCCCCACCCCCCAACATCCCCCCACCTCTGCCCCCCACCCCCAACATACCCCCAAACCCCCAGCTCTGCTCCTCCACCATCCCCCAGCTCTGCCCCTCCACCCCCAACATCCCCCCAAACCTCCAACTCTGCCCCCACCCCCCAACATCCCCCACCTCTGCCCCCCACCCCCCAACACCCCCCCAAACCCCAGCTCTGCCCCCCAACTAAACACCCCCCCAAACATCCCCCTGCTCCAAGCAACATCCTGGCCCCAGCACCAGCCGTTCCCCCCAGCCCGGCTCTGACCCCCAGCGCCACCCCCCAGCCCCCGGGCCCAGCCTGGGCTCCCCGCGTGTCCGCCCCACGCGTGTCCCCGCCCGCTCCGCGCTGCCCCCGGCCCCGCCGCGGCGGACTCACCCAGGGCTCCCGGGCCCGGGGACGGGGGGGGCAGGAAGGGGCGGCTCCTCCCCGGGCCTGGCCCTGCCAGCCCCCGCCTCTCCCCCCAGCTCTGCCCCCCACATTGTCACGTGTGTCCTCCCCCCCGCCCCTCTGGCTGCCCGCGCTCGGGGTCTCCCGCGGGCGGGGGGGTTTCCCCGCGTGTCCCAAACACCCTGCGTGGGGCCCGGAGGGGCAGGGCCGGGCCCGGGCAGGAGCCGCCCCTTCCTGCCCCCCCCGGGCCCGGGAGCCCTGTGTGAGTCCGCCGCGGCGGGGCCGGGGCCGGGGCCGGGAGCGGCGCGGTGGGGCCGGGGGCGGCGCGGAGCGGGCGGGGACACGCGTGGGGCGGACACGCGGGGAGCCCAGGCTGGGCCCGGGGGCTGTGGGGTGGCGCTGGGGGTCAGAGCCGGGCTGGGGGGAACGGCTGGTGCTGGGGCCAGGATGTTGCTTGGAGCAGGGGGATGTTTGGGGGGGTGTTTAGTTGGGGGGCAGAGCTGGGGTTTGGGGGGATGTTGGGGGGTGGGGGGCAGAGCTGGGGGTTTTGTGGGATGTTGGGGGAGCAGAGCTGGAAGGTTGGGGGGTGGGGGGCAGAGCTGGGGGTTAGGGGGATGTTGGGGGGTGGGGGGCAGAGCTGGGGGTCAGAGCCGGGCTGGGGGGAACGGCTGGTGCTGGGGCCAGGATGTTGCTTGGAGCAGGGGGATGTTTGGGGGGGTGTTTAGTTAGGGGGCAGAGCTGGGGTTTGGAGGGATGTTGGGAGGTGGGGGTTTGGGGGGATGTTGGGGGGTGGAGGGGCAAAGCTGGGAGGTTGGGGGAGATGTTGGGGGAGCAGAGCTGGGAGGTTGGGAGTGATGTTGGGGGGTGGGGGGCAGAGCTGGGGGATGGTGGAGGAGCAGAGCTGGGAGTTTGGGGGGGTGTTGGGGGGTGGAGGAGCAGAGCTGAGAGTTTGGGGGGGATGTTGGGGGTGGAGGGGCAGAGCTGGGGGGATGGTGGAGGGGCAGAGCTGGGAGTTTGGGGGGATGTTGGGGGGTGGGGGCAGAGCTGGGGGTTCTGGGGGATGTTGGAGGGTGGGGGACAGAGCTGGGGGTCAGAGCCGGGCTGGGGGGGAACGGCTGGTGCTGGGGCCAGGATGTTGCTTGGAGCAGGGGATGTTTGCGGGGGTGTTTAGTTGGGGGGCAGAGCTGGGAGTTTGGGGGGGATGTTGGGGGGTGGGGGGCAGAGCTGGGGGTTTTGGGGGATGTTGGGGGAGCAGAGCTGGGAGGTTGGGGGGGATGTTGGGGGGTGGGGGACAGAGCTGGGGGGATGGTGGAGGGGCAGAGCTGGGAGTTTGGGGGGATGTTCGGGGGTGGGGGGCAGAGCTGGGAGTTTGGAGGGGTGTTGGGGGGTGGGGGGCAGAGCTGGGGGTTTTGGGGGATGTTGGGGGAGCAGAGCTGGGAGGTTGGGGGGGGATGTTGGGGGGTGGGGGACAGAGCTGGGGGGATGGTGGAGGGGCAGAGCTGAGAGTTTGGGGGGTGTTCGGGGGTGGGGGGCAGAGCTGGGGGGATGGTGGAGGAGCAGAGCTGCGGGTTTGGGGGGATGTTGGGGGGTGGGGGGCAGAGCTGGGGGTTTGGGGGCATGTTGGGGGGTGGGGGGCAGAGCTGGGGGTTTGGGGGGGGATGTTGGGGGGTGGGGGGCAGAGCTGGGAGTTTGGGAGGGTGTTGGGGGGTGGAGGAGCAGAGCTGAGAGTTTGGGGGGGATGTTGGGGGGTGGGGGCAGAGCTGGGGGGATGGGGGGGATGTTGGGGGGTGGGGGGCAGAGCTGGGGGTTTGGGGGGGATGTTGGGGGGTGGGGGGCAGAGCTGGGAGGTTGGGGGCGATGTTGGGGGGTGGGGGGCAGAGCTGGGGGGATGGTGGAGGGGCAGAGCTGGGAGTTTGTTGGGGGGTGGGGGGCAGAGCTGGGGGTTTGGGGGTGTTGGGGTGGGGGGAGGGTCCGTGTTCAGATCTGGCCCTGTGGGAGCTTTGGGGGCTGGGGCTGGAGCCGTGGGAGCGTCTGAAGTGGGTTGGGGGGGAGCAATCTGCTCTCTGGCAGAATTTGCTACTGGGGTTGTGCTGCGCGTGCTCAGTAACATCCGCTGAAGCCACGGCCCCCCCCCCGCCCTTCTCCCTGCCCTTACTTGCCATCCCAGCCTGTGTCCCGCTTTTTACAGGGGGTTAAAAAGAGGAGAAGGGGGGCGCCCAGGGTGTGAGCAGGGGGTGGCAATTGACTGGCTGGGGGGTGCCCAGCAGCTGGAGGCAGGGTTCGGAGAGGGGGGGCTGGGGGGCACAGTCAGGGCTGGGGCGGGACGAGGCGCTGGCAGAGGGTAAAACCCGGCCCAGGCAGGGGCGGGAGGGGGGGAGAGTCACCGTGGTGGGGCTGAGCCCCCCGTGTTGGCAATAATGGGGGGGGCAGAGGGGCTTTTTTATTTCCCCTCCCCCAGAGGGCACCTCTCAGCCCGGGCTGCCCAGGGCGGGTGCTTCAAGGCCCGGGCCCCCCCCGGCCAGTCACTGCCGCCCCTGTCTGCCGTCACCGGCCGGGGGGGCTGCCGGGGACTGGATTCAGGGAAATATTTTGCATACACCCCCCTCAGAAACAAAGACTCCCGGATCAGGGCGTCCGGCAGCGTAAAGTCTCCGCACGGGTCCCAGATTTGTCTGGTCGGCTGCTGGGAGTCCCTGGATGGCGCTCCCTTCCTTGGGCTCCATTTGCAAGAGCCATTTGCCCCTTTTTACCGATCCCTTTTCTGAAAGGCTCTCTTCGTTACTTTTAGCACGTCCTCGCGTACCCGTCCTGTCGCTGTGCAGATACGAGTGGGGTTTAATTTATAGTTTAATCACAAATACGCCTGGGAAATCTCTCGAAGTCGGTCGATCCTAGTCGTAGCCCTGGCATCTGGCTTGTTTCTCATGTCGCACTTGGCTGTGGTTTTTCTCCTGTGATTTGTAATTTGGTGGCAGGGATGGCCAAAGTAGGGCCCCCGGGCCCAATGCAGCCCGAAGAGTTGCACAATGTCAGAGGCATCAGCCTGTGACCGAGGTACCCCCAATTTGCTCCCCGCGGACCAGAAGACGGGAAAGGGGAGAGGTAGCAACTTGGGGCAAGTCGGCAAATAAGGACAAACTTCCTCATGAGTAACGGCTACTGGGAGCAAATTAGGTCAGATCGCAGGTTTTTATCTTGGGGGTCGGCCTGCACCCCTGTCACTTCACCACGGGGTTCTGTGTTTCCTCTGGAAAATCTCCCCCCCTCCCCATGCCCATTTCACCCTCGCCTCCCAGATCGTCCTCAGGGAGGTTGAATGAGACCTGGAAAAAAAGTCTCCTTGAGTCCCAGGGGCTCGGCAGGGCAGGACAGGACCTGAAATCGGGCCGTTGTGAGGCCGTTTGCAGCAGTTTGTAACCCCCCTCCCCTGCTTCTTCCAGGAGCCCCCCCGAGAGCGTCGGGCCCCTCTGGGAAAAGAGAGAGAAGCAGCCGAAGCCGAGGAGCCGCGGCAAAGCCAGGAGCTGCTGGTAGGTGCCCAGGGCCCAGGTTCGCCAGGGATCCCGGTGCCCCGAGTGACGGCGAATGCAGGGCCCGGCCTGCCAGCCTCAGCCAGGGACCCGTCCCCACCGGAGCCCAGGGTCCGACACGGGGGTGGCATGGTGCCCGTAGGGTGCGGGAGGCTGCTGGGCAGGAGCGGGTCAGTCTGTGTGAGCCCAGAGCCCCTGCCCACGGGCTGTCTGCGTGTCACAGTGACCGGGGAGCCTTTCCCGCACCTGGGGGAATGGGGAGGAAATGCCGGCTGCAGAGATGGAGGGTTTGGCCCAGAGCAATCGGACGAGGTTTTGGGGAGAAAAGTTCCCCCCATGAGCGATGTAGAGCTCACCCCTGCCCTGATCCGTCCCCCTTGCTGGGGTAAATAACCTTCCCATCCCCCAGCGCAAGAGATCCCGCGCTCTGGGAAATAACTCCCCCACCCGCCGGGAGGGGCATTTATGGGTCTCCCCCGGTACCCACCCGCCCTCTCCCTGTGGCTGCAGAGCCGGACGGCAGCCGAGAGGCAGAAGATGGTCTGGGAGTGGCGGGATCTGCGAGGGTTTCTGGCGGAGCAGGAGCAGCGGCTGCTGTCCCGGCTGGAAGAGCTAGAGAGAGCCATTGCCCAGAGAAGGGATGCGGGCGCCTGCCGAGTGTCCCGGGAGATTTCCCTGCTCGGGGAGTGGGGAGGAGAGAAGGGGCAGCAGTCCCTGAGCCAACCCCTGCAGGTCAGGCTGTCGTTGCAATGACCACACGCAGCGTTCCTGTAGGAGCATCTGCCGCAGACCCCAAAGCACTTTACAAAGGGAGGTCGGGGCAATTATCCCTATGGGAGAAAGGGGGAAACTGAGGCACAGGGAGGGGCAGAGCACTGGCTCAGCGGCTGCTGCCCCTCCCAGGGTGCTGGGAGCTCTGGGGGCAGGTAAGTCCTGGGCTCTGTCTCCCTCCCCCCATGGCGTGTTAGGTCTGCTAACCGCACTGAATACAGGGCGTCCCCCTGCCCCTGCAGCGTGACACGCGGGCTTAGAGTCTGTGATTCTGTGTCCCCTCGTGGCTGCCTCAGCAAGGGGAAGAGCCTGTTAGTCTCTGACGGCTGATACGTCCCACCAGGGCTGTGAGACATATGGGCCAGGGGCCAGACCCAGGCTGTCTGACGTATTTATGGGGCCACGTCACGTCTTCAGAGTGTGCAGAATCTCAGCTTTCGATTTTTTTTTTTTAAAGTAAGTTTCTAGCTCTCCTGGTTGCAAAGAAACCCTCCCAAATGGACATGGAGAAAATGTTGCCTTCCTGAGTCTGCAGACAGCCTGAAACAGTGGCTCAGAGGGGTGTGAATGCCCTTGGCCTCCGTTAATCTCGTTGGCCTGCCGACACTTTGATGTCAACATTCAGTGTTCCCTGGCTAATCGCTTGAGCGGGTGGGAATGAAGCCTTCGAGAGGTGGGAATAGAGGGTTGTCTTCGGGAGGACTTTGGAGAGACGCAAGGACAAGGAAGCAAGAGATAACTAGAGGAAGGAGGGTGGCAAAGGAAGGGTAGAAATAGCAGGGGCCATAAAGGGGTATGTGGGAGTTGGAGTGATATTGATTGTGACAGTGAAGGACTTTGTAAATAGCAGTGTCATCTCCTGTTCCCCGGGCAGCGTCTCCCCTTGTCCTTCGCGCCTGGGTGTCACACCGAGAGCAGCGGGTGTCCTGCTGCGAAGGGAGGTGGGGGACGGAGTCCTAAATAG